AAGAGCGGATAATTATTTAAACCTGTTAAGTAGGGATCCATTTGTCTCTGCGTTTGCAGGAAACTTAGGACATTTTTTCTACTTTATTTTAGACGTTATGTATATGCCTTACCTCTTGCCTTTCCAATAGTTAGGAAGTATATAAATAGAGTGATGGATGCAATGACAATTCTGTGGAACATAAAATCAAATATACTTTATTTAAGACTGTGTTTCAAAGGCTTCATGGTTTTTATGTGTTTGTGAGGCACAGAAAAAAAATTCATTTCTACAACACTTTTAATGAGCCTTCTTACTGCTTGACCAGATTTTACATAATGTGTATTGCCAGGCAGCTTTGTTTTTCCCTGGAGCTTTGTGATCTCTATTATTGTTTATAAATCTTCTCAATCAAACAGCTTAATGCATTTCCCAGTGGATGTACCTACAGCTACTAGTCCATTATGTTCTAGAAGGGCTCACGCAATGTCTGAGTCCAGATTACAATGTTCTTATTGGCCTTGAGCTGATCTGAAGAGGAAAGTAGGTTTAGTTATGCAATTACATTCCGGAAGGCTTTTAAATAAATTGTCAACTGAATTCAGAATTCCTACAAGACTCCAACTGCTGTGTCAGATCAATGTGCACACAATAACTTGGATAGAAATGAACTTCCTATTAGTGATCAGTTAACAAGGATAAAGGCAGACGCCACCGTAGCGCAGCAACAGTGAGAAATATCTTAGGTTTTGATCATCTGTAATGTAAAAAAAGTGATCTTAAAGGTTTGCATGGGTATAGAGAAAGAAACAGAAGAAAAAAAAATGGTGTATGTGTATGGAAGCAGTCAAAGGCATGCTGGATCCAACCTTTTAATATGCTACTTTTTGTTGTTGTCTACCATGGGAATAACATAATTCACTTGTGGAATAGAAATCACACAGTTATTGAAATATACATTCAAAAAGGACTGGAGAATAACCCACATATTACAAGAATATTCCATCTCAGTGTTTAATTTAAAGAAATCTTAACTGCTTTCAATATTCTAGCAATGCCATCTCTATGCTTCAACTGAAAACACTGGAAAATTGAAAAATATTAGTGAATCAAAACACTTTTGGAGCTGTCTTCTTCCCCTGACTCTGAATACTATCTGGATTTCACTAATATCTTCTTACTTCACTGAAAATCAACACAATGTTCAAATCAATTATATACTGAAATTGTACATACTCTGAGGAAACCTGGGTGGATTGTCGTTGACATCAGTGAGCGTGATATTTACAGTTGTTGACCCTGACAGCCCTCCGACCTGCCCAGCCATATCTTTGGCTTGAATGACAACGGAATAATGCTCTCTGGCTTCCCTGTCCATATTGTGCAAGGCAGTCCTGATGACTCCTGTGATGAAAAGAAAACAAACAAATGAAAGAAAGATCACAATTAGCTTGTTATAGCAAGAGAAAAGATTGGGCATAACCTTTCTTTTCAGGAAAGATGGGGCATGGCAGATTTTCTGGAAATGCAAAGCTTTTCTACAACCAAAATAAGCTTTAGTTGATTGTGGTTTTTATATGTATAAAAATACATATGTATATAAGTAACAATGCCAGTTGCTGCTAGTCAATCAACTTGATTGAGGATATGCAGAAATTAAAATCATATATGTTAAAAAACCTCCTATTGATAAATAATTAATCTAACATATAACAGTCCTAGCTGAATGGTACATTGCCAAACCTCCAGTGTTTTCTCACATATTATAACTCTTTAAATAGCTACTTAATAGAAATATTAATGACTAGGAACTCTTACCCCACTGGAGAAAACACAAACTCCTCTTAATGAAAAGTTAATTTCTGAATTAAAATACGGCATACTTCTTAAAACTACCCAAAAGCTAAACTTTCTTATTTGACAAATCTCAAAAATTGTACTTTCCTATTTGATACATCTCAAATCATATACATTTATGTTCATAAGCGTGATCTACCTAATACTTGTCCATAAAGTGAAAGATAAGCTATTAGTGTTTTTACAACAGTACAGAGAGAAAACAGAGTGATCCTAACATTCTATCTATTTTTATCCATCACCATCAGAAATGTTTTTAACATTTAGTCAACTACACATGCAGAAGCAAAGATTACAGCACGGGAGAAACAATCCACCCTGTGGGCTCAGTTTCAGTTATGGGAAATTTTTCACTTTTGATGATGTCTGTAAATTAGTCCCTGCTAATTTCTTTGATAACAGGCTGACAGAAACCTCATGGAGTTCAAGAAAGGGAAATTTCAAGTCCTGTGCCAGGGAAACAGTACATGCTGTGGACAGACTGTGGGGAAAAAAAAGCCGGGAAACAGCTTTTCAGAAAAATATCTGTGGGGTCCTCAAGTTGGACAGGAGTCAGCAATATGCACTTGCAGCGAACAAGGTCAACAACTTCTCAGGCTTCATTATGAAAAGTTTTGTCAGCAGATATAGAGAGGGGATCCTTCTTCTCTGCTCACCACTGGTGAGGCCACACCTGGAGTGCTGGGTCCAGCAGTGGGCTCACCAGTACATAAAAGACATTGATAGACTGGAGCAAGTTACATATAAATAAACAAATAAGTGAAATGCTAAACTTACTAATTTTAAAATTTCAAACCCTAAAATTTTTAGCATAACTTGGTTTTGGACTCTTAAGATGATTGGCTGTTATAATTAGTAAAAAAATATACCATGGTATGATAAGTTGTTGCTTCTGGGTAAATTTTAAACATAAAATAGCCATTAACACAAAGCAACTTAAGAAGTGCCTTGTTTTTCTAGACAACCTGCTGTATGGCATGATTCTCAATGTTTGTGATTTCCATAGTCTCAGATAATCCAGAAAGTGATCTCCAGCACACTATTTTTCTTGTACTTTAATTTTACTTTCTTTGCATTTCCTCAGTAAAAACATTTAGCCAATATTATATACGAAAGGGAAAACTTCATGCAGCTTATATCACTGTTTCCATAATATTCTGAAAACCAATCACACATAAATAAGTAGAATGAGCTACAAATAATAATTTTTTAAAGTATCCATGAAGAATCAGAGTGATTTTAACACAGTTTGTCACTGCAAGTTCCTTTTCATCAGAAGCATATATTCTGGACAAGCTGTCTAAAAGCAAGATACCAGTCTGGTTTAGTTCATCAGTGGTTTTTTTTCTTTAAATGATACACTTAGAAACAGATCTTTTTTTCACATATTTTACCATGCTATACTGAAGTTAACCACAAATTACACATACTATAACTGACATACATGGAGACATTCTGAAACTGAAATAACGTAAATATACAGTTTCATCAAAATCAATATGGTCCACAAAATCTGGTACTACTGTTCTGAAATTTCATTTTGGTAAAAAATAGGAAGATATAAAAGTATCAGAATTAAAAATGTTCTGCTTTGACATTTTTCAAAGAAATTACTTAAATTTTTCACACTGAAACCAAATTTATTGGAACATTTAATGTTTATGCATACGCATGAAGGGAGTATGGGATTTAAAAACAAAACAAAACAAAACAAAACAAAACAAAACAAAACAAAACAAAACCCTCCCATTTTAATTTGAAACAGATCACATTTTACATAGTGGAACATCTATCTAAGCCCATGTGTTGAAAATTAAAGGAGTCTGTCCACTGAGCTAGAGATTAAAAACAAGAATAACATTTATAGAATGTATATTCTGAAAATTGGTAGTGAAAAATTACTGAATTGCAGGACTAGTATAATAAAAAGAAATTAGTTTAGCTGAAAAATTTTCTATGTACAATCCTCATAATTACACTAAGTCACATTTTTAAACTAATTTAAACAAATAGAAATTCCTCTGAATAACAATTACTTTCCTCTTCCTTTTTGCTTCAAGGAGTATGGTACTGAATCAATGCATATAGATAGTTAATAAGGATTTGTATATGACGAATAATTTGATCTCTCCCACTCACATCAGATTTTTCTTTTCTAAAAACTGAGTAAATAAAAATGCTCAAGTTTTATTTCCAAGAACTTGCATCCAAAGTTTAGAAAACTTAGTTCAAGCTTGGGATATGCTGGAGGACAGGAGATAAGAGAAGATTTAATTCTTTCTCTTTTCTTGTTTGTGTATATATACATACATCTTAAAATTATATCATCGGTATGAAGTATTGTCGTGGTTTGACCTGGCGAACATCTAAATACACGCAGTTTGCTTGCTCAGTTCCCAGAGAGAGTAAAAATAAAGAACTCACCTGTTGAGATAAAGACTATTTAATAACTAAAACAAACCACATTTAAATAATAACAATGCAAATTAATTGTATGAAGAATAGGAACAATGATAATAAAGCAATCAAAGTTATACTTAGCTAACAAACAACAGCCACTGGTCATATGCCAATGACAATGTGACAGGAGGGTTAGGCCTCAGGAAGAGACAGGCTGCCACCAAGAAGGGAAGGGATTGAAGAAGAAAAAAGGGCTGAAGTGCTGAAGGGTTGAAGGGCTGAAAGGGATCCCGTCCTGCAAGCTCCCCAATTCATAGGGAATGTGACGTTTATGGGACAGAATATATATTTTTTTGGTCAGCTTGGATCATACCTGGACCATCTGTCCTGGGTCACCTATCCCAGTAAGTCCCAGGCTCTTGCTTCTCCCCTCTTTTCTCTTGTGCAGAGAGAAGAAAAAAAAAAACAAAAAACCCCCAAAAAACAAAAAAACTAAAAGAAACTGTAACCAAAGATGCAGACAGAACCTTGAAAAATGTAAATATCTGCCAGCGAGAGCACAAAAAATAAAATATATCAGCTTCATAAGGAAAACAATTCCATTCTGGCCAAAGCTCCAAAATCAACTTGTTTTCATTAAAGCAATCCAGCTTTGCTGAATCACTAAAAGGGCATTCTACAATTCAGTCCTAGCAAAACTGGGCAGGTATGTAACTGCCATGCAGATCCTAATGCTCTATTCCTTGTCACTAGCAGCTCCACCAGCTGTTCTGGCAGTATAGCATTGAAATCATACATAATTTCAAATTTCTCTAAGGATCCCAAAAGGTGCAATGAGAAATTTCGTGGTTGCCTTTTTCAATAAGATAATATAAAATTCTCCAGCAGTTCATTGTAAAGTAGGAATTGTTCCTGAGTATCTTCAGTATACTTGACAGGGGCTCCTATACATTCCACAAGAAGACATGAAGTTCATATTAAGGAATAAATCTCCCTGTCTAAAATGGTGTGGAAAGAAACTCAAAAAGAAAACTGTCACAGGCTTTTGAAATTTTAACGCAGCCTTAATTTTGCCTTATATTTGTTAGGCAGCACTGCGACCCTGTTAACTGGCTGCTTTTCAGCTATGTTTCCAATATTTATTCATCATTACTGAGAAAGGAAAGCAATGAAAAAAGCACAAAATGTAGACATCATTACAGGGACACTCCACCCTGTCTGTGGCATTAAATGAAGAATTTTTATAGAAGTTTGACTGCAATGTCAAAAACCATGAACAACACGTGGAGGATTAGATCTATTGAGATAGAGCTGAAAACACAGAGCTCTGGATCTCTGGCCTGTTGAGTTTAGTTATACTTACTTCCATCTCAAAATTACATAACGTGTTTTCCCACATGGAAGGCTGTCCCAGAACACATATTTATTTACCTCCAAATCACACCAATTTTTGTTGTTTTTTTGTTTGTTTTTCTCTGACAATTTCTACAGTCTTGGAAAGCACATTCTCCAATTTGAATTTAACTTCCTCGACCATGGATGAGCAGAAACCTACCTACATTCCAGATGAGATTTTATCACCAACTTTTCTAATTGCAACTTCTTTCTACCCAGATCGCATCACAAAGGGGATAGATCTATTACTAATATACCCAGGACATCTTCCTCCTAACACATTTCCAATGAGGCCAAAGTTACTGTAGAATCATAGAATATTCTGAGTTGGGAAGGACCCATAAGGATCATTGAGGCCGACTCCTGGCTCTTCACAGGACTAGCTAAAACTAAACAATAAGACTAAGAGTGTTGTCCATACAGTCTCAGAATTAGTTCTCCAACCTGTTCTTTACTAATTAATACTATTAATTTTCATTATGTTCTTGTTCTTGCTCTGTACTGACAATTCCTCACAACTTTTTGCAATCAGGAAATCTCTTCATGACAGTCCTGCATTTAGCCTCAAAACAGAGAAAATTGACCAAGAAGAATATTGGGATGTCAAGTTCTTAAAAAAGTCTGATATGTCTACTACTGCGGATAGATCCTTTTCTTTTATTTTTTTTTCTCTGGATTTGAGCAAGCCCTGCAAATAAGTTTATTTTTGGCAAGTTTTATTTCCTTCTCCACTCAGGCTATCCAAAATTCAT